GGGCGTGGTAGTGCGCGCCTGTAATTCCAGCTACTTGGAAGGCTGAGGTGGAAGGATCGCGGGAGCCCAGCAGGTCGAGGCTGCAGTGACCGGGAGCAGTCACTGCACTCCAGTCTGGGTGACAGAGTAAGACTCCAACTCAAAAAAAAAGAAAGTAGCAGAACCAGACTTTGAGCCCAAGTCTGATTCCAGTGTCTACATTTTTGTTATCCCTGCTATAATATCTAACTTTGGAGAATAAATCTCTTCATTGAGCTAAGACCAAATGATAGTGATGATTTATAATTCTTGCTAAGTGTGCTTGTTATGATCATTCCAAGTGTAGTGAATGCCAACATATATGTTGTCTGTTTATTTTTGTCAACAGTTTTTGCCCGTGTACATGCACATTCGAGTTCTGGTTGCTGCGTATCTGTTTCAGACAGGCTATGGACATTTCTCATACTTCTGGATCAAAGGAGACTTTGGAATCCATAGAGTATGCCAAGTAAGAATATAGCGTTCAGTTGTTTCCCATTTCTTTCAATGGAATATGCTTTTGTACTTACCTGTTAAGAAAACATAAATATGGTCATTATGAGACCACAAATAATCTGAATTTGTGAAATGGCATCTTAAGATTGTATTATTGCTGAGTCCTATAATGTTTAGTAATTTGAGATAAATAATTTATTAGTGATGGAAGGAAAATATTTAAATGTATATATAATGAAAGCACTGGAACACAGGTGACAATATTGCTGGCTCACTTCAGTTTTGTAGAAATGTACAGTTACTTGGAATTATAATATGTTGTGTTTTCTCTGTCTGAGAAGAAGATTGGCTTTTGTTTCTACTTTGTGCTAAGCAGTTTCTAAACATTATTTTATTTACCCCCCCATTGCAACCTTACACTACTATCTTTATTTTTACAGATGAGGAAACTGAGGTGCAGAGATTTAAATAACTTAACCAAGATCACATAGTAAATGCTATAGCACAAATATAAATCTGCCCAGACTCTGTGTTTTTTGAATGACATCAGACTGATACCTGAAATGACTGTTACAAAAGTCCCAGAAGCACTTTTAAATTTGAGTAATATTATTTTGTATCTATGGCAGCTCTCAATTTAGTCTCAAATGGGGTAAAGCAACATGAGACGAGATAAAAATAGACACCCCTACGCTGAGGTGAACTGGTCTTTGCTTATAAATTCTGTCCTTAGGAAGGAGGTTTTCAATTTTTTTCCCTACATTTAACAAGATGGCGGCTGCAACCAGATGGCAGCCTGTGCTGATGCTTTGCTGGGAGTTGGTTCATATAATTGTGCGCACATTTTTTTACATTCAACTCTTTACATGTTTGTAGATCAAATGTAATTTTAGGGATTAGTGGGATGTACTTGTCCACTCACTGTGAACTCTGAAATTTTTATACTCTGTCAGAGAAAATCTGTCTTTGCTTTCATGTATGCCTGAAATAAAAACCGGTCTCATGTCCTTTTTCATAGGTCTTATTTCGTCTCAATTTCCTGGTAGTGGTGTTGTGTATAGTGATGGACCGGCCTTATCAATTCTACTACTTTGTCCCCTTGGTCACTGTATGGTTCATGGTCATATATGTTACTTTGGCACTGTGGCCACAGATAACCCAAAAAAAAGCAAACGGTAAGTGTACTCTCTTATAATGTTACTAAATGTATTTGCTCAGTGTACTGTTTCCTTTTAATTGCTAAAGACTATTATTTGTATTAAGAGAGGTAGACAGTTTAAATTTGTGTGTAGTTTTGACATTTTGAGATTTTGTTCTTAAACTTCCTAAAATGTTACAGCTGAGTAGTTCAAGTAATACACAGTGCAGAATAATAGTTTGCATTTTATTTTGTTTTTTCTGTTTCTAAGATTATATTTTTCAAAACCACTTTACACATTAACTGATGCTACCATTTTCAGCAGAGTGGAGGTAGCTGGAGAGCAAGGGTACCCACGGCCCAGGGCAACCCCACTTCCTCTTGGCAGCCCTGCTGTGCTTGGTTTCTCACTAACGTGTTGAGACTTTGAGTAAGCATTCATTTGCAGAAAGGCTTCTTATGTTAACGTCAAAGCACTAATATAATTTTTCTTCTGAACAACAGTTTAAGCCATTATTATCAACACGCTTTATTGTATGTATGAGAACCTAAGTACCCAAATGTTGTCATTTTTAAATTTCATACAGCCAGTTACTGATAATGTTCAAAGTGAAGTCACAGACATTTATTCTTATGCTGTCTTTTCTTTTAAGATTATATTGTTGAAATCTTCCCTTTTGTGGAAAAAATAAAGCATTTAAAT